AAACTTTTTTTTCCTGTTTTCATATATACTCTGTGAGTGTGTGTCTGTGTGAATGGTTTAACTTGTCACACACTAAGCTGAAACATTACAATGGAGCTCTGCTTTAACATGAAAAATAGATGTTTCAGACATATTATTATTCTTAATTCTTTAAACAGGGTTTAAAAACATTTTTCTAAAGAAATATTTCCTTGTATTTGATCGGACTCAGGAAAGGAACAGGGCTTTTAAAAGTGTTATCATTGTAACAGTTATAGCAAAATACAGAACAAAATACATTAGTAGAAATATTGTACAGTATATTTAGTGCCCGGTATTGAGGCAGTAAACACAAATAGAGAGGCCAGGAAGGAAAACAGTGTATCTGCGTTGCAGTTTCAGCTGAAGACTATGAAGGTCAGATTACCATTTGTGGACTAAATGATAAGTCAACAGTTTTTGTCATGGAAAGGATTATACATGAATTCAGACGGTTATCTCTCTATTACATTTAATTACCCCCTTTCTGTGGTTAACCCACCATAAGTATTTTTTAAATTCTGTATTGCTTTTAATTAAAAATATTTGTCTTTTAAATAATAGTACTTATCTGACTTTTGATATATTAATGACAACAGACAATATTTGTATATTAATAAATGTGATGAATTGGGCAATGTTTTACACAATATGATATAATATATTGGCATCCCAAATAAGTTGCTAATTTATTTAATTTATGGAAACCCTAGTATACTGTTGATTTTTTTTCCTGAGGTTTGATTTTTCAAAAATAAATTGTCATATAGTTTATATCCTTAACCTCCATGATTTTAATTTATTTTAATCAGAGTTGTTCCCTAAAGAAAAGTGCTTTAGACTTGGTTTTAGTAATACAGAGAATTATGTTGTGCCTTTAGGTTTATATAAATTTAAGATTTAAGGTAATTTGTAAGAGTTCTAGGATTCATCTGGACTTTTCATTTTGGCTTTGGTGCAGTTGCTCATTAATAGAATTTTAATAAAATGTGGTAAACACCTTTATTTTCACCCCAATTTTTGTTTGTGCTGTTCCTGCATGTTGTAGCAGTGCATGTATAGAAATTCGTTTAATGTTAGGTGATCATGTCCGTGCTCAAATATTGTGTCCTGCAGGTGGGTTTTGCCCAATTAAACAGGCCTGATGCAAGACAAGTCTGTCTTCTTTAACATTAAGGAGGGATTTAAAAAGCTTTCGTAACTACATTACCCAAAATCTTAGCATTTCTTAATGTGACTTTGTGGCATTCGTAATATTTCACGAGTGTTTGATGGTTTTGATATCTATGAAAAGTATGTATTGCAAACAGGGTGAACTCAACTGGGTTTCCTAGCATAAGGCACTGTAGTTATATACTGTAGCTACAATTCTGTGGAAATGTTTCAATGTTTTTTTTAAAACGAAACAGTAGTTTAAACAACTGGTGAACAGCAGGTGAGGGTTTTTTTCAGACTGCGATCTGTCATTTAGAATGATCACGCAGAAATTACAAGCAACGTCTGAACACTCTCAGTCCAATTTAAATATATATATATTAAAAAAAAAATGTTGGTTTGAAAGTACTGAACAAGGAACCCATCAAACATGGCTTTTATTATTTTACCATACAATCTTAGAATATTTTTGTAATCAGGAGGTAAGAAGAATCTGGTCATTTGCTTTGGTAAAAGACTAATACTGTACTTCTGTAACACAGTCATCAGAATAATATTGTCATTATTATTATTCATACTGTTATTTAAAAATACACTTTTTTAAATAAGTTTTAAATAGTTAAGAACCACTCACCACATATTTACTATTAAACAGTATTACATTTTTTAAGCATGTTAAAGGTTTGCTTAAACAAAAGTCTACTGATGTTTGTTGTTAGCAGTAGCTGTAGTGCTGCTTCTACAAGACAGCAATTTGATGAAGTGACCTCTGTTAACTAGCTTTCAGCTTTAAATGAGAGATAAACAGATGGAAATATTTAACAATTACATTTTCACTTAACACTGCAATGGTAACATGCCTTCCGTTTTTGATTATTTATTTCTTATATAAACTGGAATTTGTCTATACCGACCAGCATGAAAAATGCCAGACTAGACTGATCATGGCTGATTGCTTTTCATCTCAGCATAGCAAATAGCATGGACCACAGGAGCTCTTGAGGCAATTTCTAATGCAGATTTTGATAGTATTTGCACAGCCCAGGTCCTGCCTCTGTCTGGAGTCTTTTTTACACTGGTCCAGGATTAGTTCTGTACAGCCCCGCCGCGCACCGAAATGAGCCCGGAGCCTCCGTTTCAAAGAAAGGATGGCTTTGCAACCAGTTGATTCATCACACGGAACAAAATCGGCATTTTGGGCTGTGCATTTTGTTTGTGTGTTGTATTTGCAGGCATGGTTGAACAGTGGAAGACTTTGTGCTGGGATCTTCAACAGCCGCTTCCTATGTGATAAACAGTCCAAGTGTTTTCACCTGGTCTTCCATTTTAAGTCCATCAGTTTTCTCCTGCTTCCGGCCTGAGGCCTTGCTCTATTGCAGTACTGTTATTTAACTTTCTCGTGCCTAGTACAGTTGGGGTGTATTTTTATGAAATTACAAGGGAATTTGCTAATGGGCGAATATACTGGAAAGGGAATTTGAGGGATAGAATAAAGATTTTGAACGAACTGGCCTCTTTAGTTTTGCTTGGTAGTAAAATGGCTGGTCACTTCTCATTTCCAAATGTTTGAGGACCTGCGCCGGCTCTTTTTCTAAATAGCCCTGGCCATGGTATTTGATGGGTGAGGTTTTTGCACATTTGTCGCAGTAATGTAAAAATGACATTTCTTTATATTTGGACAGTGCAAGGGAGAACAATGTCTGACTTTAAGATTTGCCAGTGTCGAGATAAGTAGTCCATCTGCTTATACTGGGCATAACAAGGCATGTGAAATTACTTAAAACTCTCCATATCCTTAGATAAAATACTGCAGTGTAAGAAGTTTTATAATTCTATCACTGTGCATTAGTTACATAAGGGTTGATCAACAGTAGAACAAATCACTAGCCAATTTTATCTGATTGTTGCTTAGAAAAGGGCAGTGTATCAGTTTATTCCAGAATCGGCTGTATTCTACAAATAAGACGCCTATTACAACAAACAAACAATTCTGTTTATACTGCATAACAGTTTCTAAAGCCATACAAGGATGGAAACACACACATATTTCTAGATGCTCAGCATTATGGCTTTGAGAAGCATAAGAGTGTCGGTGTAGGATAGGAGCACCCTATGTTTGTATAGCACAGGTGTTAATGACCAATTAACATCTGTCAGCTCTTGAATTTGTATGTTCTACTCAGACTGTATGTAGTGCCATGAATCACCACAAGCAGCCAAATACGCATTCAGTGCATTGTCTGAAAGAGTGTGAAATAAGACCAAAAATCCATATTGGGTTAGAAGGAATCTTTGAAGTAATGCTTTTGTGTTAAGTAGCTTCTGAGAAAACGGTGTGAGTGCATGTTTGTGTCTGTGTGCGCCCTGTGATGGACTGGCGTCTCATCCATGGTGTACCCTGCCTTGTGCCCGTTGTTTGCCAGGATAAACTCCGGCTCCCTCATGACCCTGCATGGGACAAAGCAGTTCGAAAACGGATGGGTGCTATGGGTTTCGACAACGTGGCTGAGTAGCTTCCGTTAACGAAAACCCCAGAGGTTCGAATTACATTTCGCCCTTTGGGCAGACCAAAAAAGGAAACAAAAATACGATTTCGAATTTAAGCTGTGGCA